TCCCTGAGCTGTTGGCTTTAAGTAACTGAGCAATTTAGTTGGATAGCACAGTATTAATGTCTGAAAATAAGCTGCTTAAAGTCAGCATCAAAGATAAACTAAATAATATTTCTGTATTTATTTCAGGTTTAGTCAGTCATGAACTTAGTTCTTATCAGTGTTTAAAAGAGGACGTGTTAAAACACTGTTTAGTCAAAGTTAAACATGAAACGTCAAAGTTTATTACAAGTGGCCCTTCGAGGGCCACCATAACACTCATGTGGCCCTYGGTGAAAATGAGTTTGACACTCCTGCTTTAGACTGTGTTAGCAAAATAAGTCAAAAACCACTGGTTGGATTTTAATGAAACCCTCAGAAACAACTCAACGATTGCAMRWCTACAAATTAAATAACTGTTAAAGTCAATYCAAATCAAGAYGTCTGCTACAGCTAATTAACTTTGACCAACACATAAACAGCCTAATCCAGTCAATTTTACAAATATCTCCTGTGGTAGTAGCTGAGAGTCATCCTCGACACATAATCTGAGAGATTATGTTGTGATTATCTGTTAAGCACAAAGCTAACAGATCTAACACAGTATAAAATTTGACCAAAATGACTACAAATCTGTTCTTTCTCATCATAAAATGTAGTTTAGAAATCGAGTGATTAGCATTCCTTTCTTGCATTTTCCTAAAATCAAACCTAAACTTTTTAGGAAAACTAGATTGGAACTTMTCCAAGTTCTTACAGTGAACTAAAGAACACACAAGCAGATAGGACAGTGAAACTTCCTAAATTATCTCCATTACAAGTTAAAAAAAGAAGCTAAATTGTAGCAACTTGTTATAAAACTAATGGAAGTAATATTTCAAAGTTAAAACACCAAAAAAACATACAAACAAAAATCAAAAGCATACTAAACCTTAGAAACAATCTGTTCAGATTATCACAGTTCAGCACTCGTTTGGAYCCTGCTCATTTAAATGTGTCACCATGCCAAGCCCCCCACACAGTCGGGGTCCTAACCCTCCACCCAACCCCCGACAACACAGACCACCCAACAAATCCCCTGGCTGGCTCTCCAGGCTTTCCAAACCCCTTTTACGTACATCCATCACCCAACATCCCAACACACTGATGGTCCCACATGAACACACACAAACATAAACACAAACACACAACTCTGGAGATTTCAACTAAAGTGATCTGGCTGTCAAAGTTCTCTCACCCAGAACATGCAGGACAAGCAGACCCAGGTCCGAGCTGGTCCTGCTAGAGCTGTTGGTAGGTTGAGGGAAACCGACGGCATGGTGACAGACAGGAGTGATGATGCTGCTGCTACACACTGCTGGGCTTCCTCAGGTCTGAGCTGGGCTGGAGGAGAGTTGTCCAACGCTGCAAAGACATGACTTCAGAGGACACAAACCCTCCGTTCACCCGGGGGCTTCGGATTTCTCCGTGGCCGTCACTCTCTGAGTTTTGTTTTCCTCCTCCAAACTGGATCCGGACTGCCTCTGCTCCGTGCCTCTCCTCCCCTCTGCCGGGGGAAAGTTCTACAAAGGTTTTCTTTGGTGGTGGGGGGGTTTGGGCTGCCCCTACCTCTCCACCAGAGCAAAATGGGGGAGGGGGCAGTCCACTTATTATCCATCTCTTTTGCACCTCCTCTCTTCCTCTCATGTCTCCCTCCCTCCTTACACTCCTCTAAGTCCCACCACTTTTAATTTCATTCATTGCCTGACCCCCCCCCCCACCCTGCAGCATCCAAGACCCCTTCCTCCATCCATCTCTCCTCCACATGGACTATTTCTAATCTGAGTCCATTTTATAACCACCGACTCTAAATGTATTTACCCTTCAGATGAATAAATTGCAACTGACATTTATTTTGGAAAAAATTTTTTACTTTAGATGTAAAAACAAAATAGACTAAATGTTCATTTTCTCTCCGGAAGTCGACATTTAGTGACTAAACAGTGTTTCTTTTACAGCAATGTGAAAGGGTCTCTGTGCACTGCTTACTTGAGGAAGTCACGACACCAGGGTGCATTATGGGAAAAAGGTAAGCCAAGAAAAGTTGTTTAATGCTTTGGATAAAGTTTTACTTTAATTCTGTTATTCACGTGAATGCTATAGTTTGACAAAAATCACCTAACATTATTGCTGGTCAGTATTTCCATCATAAAAACACAAAGTTTATTCCCTGAAGGAAGTTGCCTTTTTCAGAAGGATTACTGATTTGTTTAAAGGGGCAGTATCATGTAAAATCAACTTTATATCATGTTATTACATCATCCCCTCATCAAAAACATACACAGCGTGTCGCTTTGATTCATTCATGTATGTTTGTGAAATCCAGTAATGTCCTGAGGCAGCCAGGCAGGGAAGCAAAACCAGTTGGTTGGGCCTAGAACCGCCCTTTAGGTGCAGCTCCGCCTCCGGGCTGTGTCTCCAAGCTGAGCTTTCTTATCACAGAGCACACCTCCCCCGGGACTTTAAAATGATCAGTTTTTAGATTGTACTCTTTATAGGTATATGTTTGAGTAAAATGAACATTATTTTACTCTATGAACTACAGACATGTCTCTGAAATTCCAAGTAAAAATCTAGTATTTATTTGCAGAAAATGAGAAATGGTCAAAATGACGACACAGATGCAGTTCTTTCAGACCTCACATAAGTTCATAGTCATTTAGAAACAACAATGCTAATGTTTTAACTCAGGAAGAGTTCAGAAATCAATATTTGGTGGACTGATTTCAACCAAATACAGGGAAACTGTGATGGTCTCTTAATTATTTCCAGAGCTGTATATGCCTGAGAAACACATAATAAAGGATGGCTTGAGGAGCACAGCAGYCAATTTTGTTTCAGTCTCCAAATTGTTTAGATACAATAGCTTCATTGAGTTTTCAAGCTTGATTGGTCCACCTGTGATTCAGATCATTATAAAAAGAATTAAACAATGACGACCACACAATAGTCGGCAGCTAAAATCTACATTTTGCAACAGTATCTTTGGTTTTAAAATCATTAAAACAATAAATTAAAGGCTGATTTTTTTTGGATGCACTGGAGAAAAGCATCCGTTTTTTTCTTTCCTGGTTAGAAGTTTGGTAAATAAAAGCAGCCATGTGGTACCTGCAGGGGCCTCACACAGCCCAGACCACCTCCTCTAAGACATCCTTCAGTAAAAAGAAACACAGAGCAGCCAGGAAGTAAAARCTGCTTCATTAGGTTCTTATCAATGACCGTGTCTGCCCCATGCATGACTCTTTTTGTGCAGGTTCTTTTCTCACACAACCATGCCCACATACAAGGGCACAAAACGGTTTCTATAAAAAAAAAAAACAATTAATTCATGTTAACCTCAGCACTATTAATGCTTTACTCTTAGCCAAAACCAAAAAAATGACCAAATGCACCCAATGACATGGAACAGTTATATCCACATATTCACATGGTCCCATTGTTGTCAAGCTCAGCCCTTCCAGAAAACATAAACAAGCATCATTTCAGCTATTAAACTCAGTCATTCACACAAACATCCACAAASAAGCATTATTTCTCCGATACAACTTTACATCTTTCTCACACACTGCATAAATACACAAAGCCACCCACACCCAGAAACACACAAACACATCCAGCTGGTGGCACACAGGATTATAATCTCCTGGTATTTCCTGAACGCCACCCCAACATAGACACATTTACTAAACGGGACGATGTTATTGAGAAAAATATCTAAAACTAATCCCTGTTTCTAACATACAGAAAAGTCTACAAACATAGAAACACTGAAATACATTCAAGAAAGTTGTGTTTACTTCTCTATATTAAATTTAAAAAAATGGTTTTCGTGGGTTTAAACTGAAACCAATTTCCTGAAAAGTCACKGACCTTTTWATTARTTGTTTATCACAGGGAACAAACAGCAAAATGTTCTCAAAATGACCTGAATGGCTGCAGTGCCCCATAATCACGTTTGTGTTAGGCAGGAATCATGATCTTACCACAATCACAGTCATAACCTTGGCATGAGGTCACACAGGGGCACACAGACCCCACACTTCACCCAGGACCCTGACATGTTGATGATAACCACAATCTTGCTACAGTAGGGTTGGGCGATGGCAAATAAATTAATCACGATTAATTGTGGTATTTAGCCRATAACCGTTAATATGAYRATTAATCCCCTGGAGTGTCTGAAAGCCTGCATGTCCTGGTCACATGACCAATTTAAATCACTCTAGWGWGAAATATTTGCTACCCCTAAAAGTATGTTCCAAATTGTGTAAAAACTACAGACTTCAGGCTATACATCYATTTTTAAATTGTGYTCATAGGTCCAGTAAAACCAGAGTTATGATAAATAAATTACAGAACTTTGTTTTTTAAATGTTCGTCATATTTGAAACAGAGAGGAGCACCGAGCGGACTGACCGGGGAAATCTTCAGTAAGTCTGCCTGGTGGCATTAATCACATTAATTGCCACGTGCCAAAACATAATTAATTACATTTTTTTTCTGAGGATCAATTGCACAAAATACAATTTTACCGTGACATGATCACACAGGGGCACACAGACCCCACACTCCACCCTGGACCCCGACAAGCTGCCATGATGACAAACCACCACAACCTTGTTAGAGAAGTTCGTGCATGCTCAAAAACATTCTATTCTGTGTATCCAGGACGCCTGGAACATCATCAGGACCCTGCTAAAACAATCCATGTTCTGGCTGATTTTTAACATCGTAATGGGGTCTTTTTATTGCGAAGGGGCTTCAAACTTTAAACTGTTATTGACTTGTCTGATTAGAACATGATGTTTACCAACAACGTGACTGGAGAAAGGGAAAGGAGCTACGACTTTTTGATAAAGCAGAAGAAAAATTGTGATTTTCTTGGTTAATCTATCAGACAAAGCTGGTTTTAATGAGACAATAGCAGACAGATGTCTTAAAATGTATGTTTTGCTCAAGACAACAGAATATTTACATATGAAATCCTTTCCCYGGGTACACAAGTACACGGGCAGAACTACAAACTTTACTGGAACAGTTTCTGTTCAGGCAGTGGATTTAAACTCAGCTGTATAACCTGCTTCTGAGATCAGGAAACCAGCTCTACCTGCAGCTCAGCTCCCTCTGGTGGACACCAACAAACCCTTCTAATCTTATCTGGTTGTTTATAGTCTGGTCATTGAAGATCAGGAGGGTTGCAGAGATTAGAGTTCAAGAGTGAGTGGAAGGTCACAAAAGAGGAARGTGGAAATGTAGCAAAGAAAGACATGACGTTTTTCCAAAACTAAATAAGTGATCCCTGGAAGAATTGTTTCAGTACCTYTTTAACCTTGAACATTTCTGACCTAATTTGTAAATCTGAGCTGAGACAGCTGAACTAAGCCTAACTTGGTGTAGAACATGGTCCTGAGTCCTCAAGAGAAGGTTCTGTACAAATATTAAAAATGAACAAATAAGAGAGAATGTTTATCAGAAAAAAAGGCAAAACAAGAGCTAAAAACTAACGAGTGTCTCAGCAAACAGATTGATAAAGGTGGGAGATAAACCGATAGATAATGGGGGAGTAATGGTGTAAACAGAGGGGTTCTGACATCTTGGCAGATGTCCTAGAACCTGTTAGATGAAGGGGGCATTCACTTGTTGACAGACTGAAGAGGAACACATACCAGCAGGCCCCCCCTCCACACACACACACCCTTTCCCAGCCCGCTGTTGAAAACAATACCATCCCCACTCCCTCTGCACAACACTCACATGTGTGTGCACGTTTTTCCTCCCAAACACAGAGAGGAAGAACTCCCTCCCAGCAGCAGAACACGCTGACCTTTGGAAACAACGACACCACCGCTGGAGGACGTGAAACATTTCAGGTTCTCATTTTTAAAACAAAAAAAAAAGAAGAAAAAAAACTGTTGGATTTTTGCAAACATTGAAAACTTGCAAACATTATGACTCAATAATCATGTTTATACAGATACATGAAGAATTCTCTATTCAAAAGTTCTGATTTTTTTCATTAAGTTTTGTGTGAAAGGTTACGAGACAGAGACTTAAAGTCTGACAGGACTGATGAACTAATGGCTTGTCTCAAATATTGTATCGGCACAAACATCTCATAGTACGAGACAAGCAAGGTGCTGGAAGGTTGGTGGTTTTGGGCACCTCACAGTCATTGAGTTGACTATGACCAGTCAAATGTGAGTCTATGGCTGTACTCACACTTGATAGTCAGACTCGGTTCGACTGGGGACAAAAATTGCCAGATTTGTTGAAATTTTCATTTGGTGATGTCCACATTCACACTGCACTTTGTCAAACAAACTAAACCCTGTGAACAACCTGTTCCCCCGCCCCCCTCACCTGTGGGAGCACTGCACCAAAAACCACTGAAGGAATCGACACAAAAACCTCTGAAGAAGACACTGAGCACAACTTCCTTCTTCACAAAATGTAAACAAATAGAGTAACGTCAGGTTTTAGAGGTTGTAGAATTTATTTGATTTGTTTTTGGCAAATGT